TCTATCTGTTCATTTTGGTTCCCTGTTTCAATTACAAACTTTTGACATTGCATTTTTGATTTTCAGGGAAGTGATTTCTACATTTTGAGAAAGGTGTTTGACATAATGCGTCATAAGGATGTTATATAGTGGAGCTCAATAATTGCCCCTGTTTCGAGTAGTGTATTTCAGTTGGACTCTGTTAAAAGTAATGTAGTTAGTGTTGGTGATGGTATTTTCCTGATGTAAGATTTAATTTCCTGTTGCCGTAGTGTATTTCAATTGATGTAGTGAATCAAATGTTCTATTGCTGTAGTTTGTTTCAATAAATTGATTTCCAATGCCTTTTTCCACTCACCAAAATAAAAATTAAGAGTTCACAGTTTCGTGATACTTTTGATATCCAAATGAGATTCTGTAAAAACAAATAAATCACTAAAGTCAAGATCCCAAGCAGATTTCCACTAAAAATTGACAAAATCAATTCTGAACAAACTACTTGATTAAAAACAGCTGAAATTTCAAAGATCTAATATTGATTCCACATAAATACACGAGTACAGAATAGTACAAAACGAACTTCGACATTTATCTGATAGCTTTGGCTGCTTCTAAACAAAATACAAAACAAAAGACATCCACATTTTTATCCCTGTAGGTGCTTTGCAAGCTTCTAAACAAAATACAAAACAAAAGACATCCACATTTTCATCCCTGCAGGTGCTTTAGCAGCTTCTAATCTCCATTTAACCACTCTCAGCTTCCATGGACTTATAATGCCTTTTGTTATGTCCCTTTTCCCCACAAGTAGAACACGTCATGTACACAACACCCTTTCTTCCTTCTTGTGATTGTGACTGTGAATGTGTCTGTGATTGGGATTGTCCATCTTCATCAACTCCTTTTCTTCTCTTTTTTTTTTGTTTTCTTCCTACTGAAGCAATATACCAAGGAGGAGGCAAAGCATGGGGATGTGGACATTCAGGCCATAACGCCTTACCATTGATGGGATATATGACATTCTCGTACGTGCTCATGTAAGTCTCAAGCTTATACCAGGAAGAGAGGTAGTCTTTTACCTCATGACCTATATCCAAAATGCAAGCAATGGCATGAGGACATGGAATGCCAGAAATCTGCCATCTCCTATAGCCACATGTTCTATTGTCCATGTCCACAACAAATTCTCCATACGAACACTCAACTTGATATTGGTGTAGCCTATTCCATCTCAAGATACACTAACGGGCTGCATCACAGCACTTCTGCAACTTCTTTTGTATTTTGGGACATATGGGTTTGTTGTAATTTCTTAATTTGTCCCTCTTCTCCTGAATTCTGTGCATGAGTTTCATCTGATTGGCCTTCTTTGTGCTCCACAATATGCATACCCATTTCGATGTCTTCGGTCACATTTCGATCATATGGGCAATCATCATCATCATATACATCATAGTCCGAGTCATTAAAGTCAGGGTCTTCGTCTATTTGTATGTTTACTAGAGCATCTGTAATCATAAAAACAAGTACATAAATCCAC